ATGAAACAGCCAGTGCTCATATTACTCATAATTTCACAAGGAAATTAAATTACAAGAAATTCAGTTTGGAAAAAATTTCGTAAACAAAATTCAGGAAAAGTGTTTCTCCTTCGTGCAATAAAAGTATTTCATTTCATTGAAATGTTTGCGTTTAAAGGAAAAATATCACTTTTGCATTCAACAACATTCAACAGTGTAAGACTAAAGGGAAGGCAGCTAGTCATCACCATTCACCGCCAACTCTTAGGCTACTCTTTTACCAACGATTAGTGGGATTGACCGTCACCTTATAATACCCCCCACGGCTGAAAGGGCCAGCATGTTTGGTGTGACGGGGATTCGAACCCGTGATCTTCAAGGTAAAAGAAGGAAAGACAGAAAATGAGGGAACATATAAAAAATTAAAATTAAAATTTCCTTACAAATTTTGAATTATTTATTCTCCTAGTGTATAGTAACTTCCTGCCAACTATCCGCTTTTCTACTAAACAAAGAACATTGAATAGCTACCTTTTTATAGCATTACGTGTACACAAAAAACGACAGAGAAACAGGATTTAGTAAGTGCAGAATCACTGGCTGGTATTTGAGACAATAATGTACATTACAGTACCTTCATGGACGCTCAAAATATTTATCAGTCAATTTTAAGCTTTGATAATTTCATGCATTGTTTTTTTTGTTTTGCGTAGATTCAAAAATGTTATTATAAACAAAAATACGAAATATTACAACCCGAGTGCTTTGAAAAGGCGGGCCTTTCTTCATCAGGAGTAAACTAATGAAGAAACCCATCCTTTCGAAAGTTTGTTTGTTTTGCATTTCGCGCAAAGCTACACGAGGGCTATCTGCTCTAGCCGTCCCTAATTTAGCAGTGTAAGACTAGAGGGAAGGCAGCTAGTTATCACCACCCACCGCCAAATCTTGGGCTACTCGTTTACCAACGAATAGTGGGACTGACCGTCACATTATAATGCCCTCACGGCTGAAAGGGCGAGCATGTTTTGGTGGAACGGGGATTCGAACCCGCAACCCGCAGATTGCGAGTCGAGTGCCCTAACCACCTGGCCATGCCGGCCCTTCCTTTCGAAAGAGCCCGGGTTAAAGGGTTTCGTATTTTTGCTCGTTTCAAATCAGTTGTCACTGGTTGTCTTCTGAAAATCATTTCCTCAACAAACATTGTTTTCATCGAAAGTTTCTTTGAAAGGTATTGTGTAATTGATCTGAGAGAAAGTGTTTAGGTTGATGTAACTCATCCGATTAAATACATCCTTACAGTTAGATTGGATTTTTAAAATGGAGTCAAATGGAAGTTCTTTTACCCATGAAACTGCAGTAGCAGAGGAGTTCCGGAATGTCGTGTATTCCCAAAGTAATTTTTCCTTGGTTACTGGAAACTTCGTTACTTTAGTGTGCGATGCCAAAAACTTTGTAACTTCTTCGGGAAGAGACTTTTCTCCTAAAAATTGAAATATATCTCGGGCAGTTTCTAGGGGTTTTTGGGCAAGGTCCTCATATCTCAAAAGTTTGTATTTTCCGGGAAACTTTGCCTTTATTTCACATGCATAAGTAAGATCATCGGTGATTTGAGTGCACAAGGATCTGGAATCAGAACATAAACTCTTTTGACACCAAACAATAACTGCTTTCTCCATTAATCGCGACTTCATAATTCCTCGAGGGTCGCGTATCATATGGATTATTTTCAAGTTCAAGTCCTTGTTCTTTTCTAATATCTCTTCCACTTGGTTTAAGGAAAATCTGATCGCTTTAACGACTTTGATCAAATATCTTTGGCAGAATGAAGTGATGAAATGGACGTCATAACATTTTTTTTGGTTTTTACCAAGCGAGCAAGCGGTCCAGAACCTGTTATTTCTTTGAAGGTTTTTGTATTCTACATTTTGTTTGGCCCAAATCATAAAGGAGTCCCAGTTCTTGAAATTACATCGAAAGATATCTGAAAGAAACTGTCTTGACGTCGGTATTTGTGGTAAAACTATTTCACTTCCAAAGTAATGAAGAGGCTCGAAAAGGTAGAAAACACTGGGGTGGCTTTGAAGTAAGTCACCCAAGAACGAGGATCCTCCTCGCGCATAAGTCATCAAAATGACGTGTAGTTCTTTAGGAGGAGGAGAGGAGGTGGTGAAGGCTGAAAAAAAATGAGTGAACATTAAACATTATTCCTTCCCATATTAACACATAATTTTCACTATTGGTTATAATATTCCATATACATACAAAACGGAACCGAGTCCTGTTATTCAAACCTTAATGAATACTACTCAAAATATTGTTTTAGTATATGTACGCGTTTAATAGCTGATAGTTAAAAGAAAGTCATTAAATATGTTTAATTAAATAAACACTAGCTCTCTAGCACTCATCTGTAGTAGTATTGAAATATTCTTGTTAATTAGGCTACTATTTTTCTAACGTAAAAAAAAACTTTTCAAATGAGCTTCTGGGAGATAGTTTATTAAATTTCTCTTTTCATTTTTATAATAACGTGTCAAATGAGTTTATAAAGGAAGTAATAAAAAGAACGTTTAAGAAAAATGATTATATTCACATTCTTGCTTTTTCAGTTATTGCTAAACATTAATTCTACACAATAAACGAATAAGTCAAATTTAAGTAGATTACACTGGTTTTGTTTTAATGATTAAGGCTTTCCTCTTTTAAGATGAATACAACAAAATTGTACATAAGCCTTTACTATTGTGTGCGATGAGAGTTTTTGTTACTTTCAACCTGACTGAAGCCGTGCATTGATAAACTGGCCTTTCCCCTTCAATATGCCTTCCCTTCAACCAACTTACTTGAAATCCTGTTCAGTAGTGTTTGAATCTAACGTTTGTTACATAACGGAAGCGTTAGATTTATCCATATAAACTAACACTACCCACGTGACTGATCATCCTCCTTCAACATAGGAAAGGCTGTAACGTGTAGATATCATCTTCCTTACTAGCGAAGGCCACTGCCATCCTTTTTATTTTTGCACAACATGCAGCATTAAAGCAATATCCTCTATGAGTGGGGTAGGCAGGCACTATCTCTAGAAAACAACAAATGAACAAAGCCAGCTACAATAACGTCAAATTAACGGGTTTCTGAACCACGTGCTACGGAAAAACTACATAGATGTAGAATAAATGAAAAAAAGTTTCAAATATTCTACATTAAAATATGAAGGTAGAAAATGCATGATATGTTTGCATACAACAAACGTATAATTGTCCCTAATTTAAAACTTCTGCGAGAGGGAGGACAAGTACACAGCAGCAAGCATCGAATAACCAAATAACAGAACGAACTTGGTTGTGGAGGATTTGGATAGTTTGAAAATGTATTTATGTATTACATGTTTTCAAGAACAAGTTTGCTGGCTTCTCCATATCAAAACCACTTTTTTTCTTTTTTTGCAATGTCACATCTATTGTAATCAGTTACAGCATACAGAACAAATTTAGCTTCATTATAATAAAATCAAATTATGTCATAGCTTTTTAAATATTTAGTATACATATGCTGTACAAAGACTAAAGACGTAATGATTATTAAAATAAGAAAATAGATAAGGATTTTTCGGGAATCATAATATAATTACACAGTTATTACAACAAGTAAATGTGATTTTTGAGATATCTTTGTTATCCTATTACTAAGATATACATCTTGAATTTTTATTAGTACTTTGTTTGTTTCGGTAAACTACAAAAACAGTTTTTACATGCTCTAAAGAAATAATTTTAGCATTGAAACCATTGAATATTTCATAGAATGATAATTTCATATTCTAGAAACACACTCACCAAAATTTAGGAAAGAATAGTTTTGTCTTTTTACGGTGTGAACTGTCAATGTAAACGTGGCAATAAAAACAATGCTGCAACATATTGCAATAGTCCTTCGACTTCGGATTGACAGCAAAGGTAGTCTATTGTTAAGGCTGGCTCTACACAACTCAGTGAAGGTAAAATACATTTTTCTACAAGTCTAAGTTAATTTTTCTTTGCGCTTTTATCTATCCGGTTTAGTAAATCCAAAAAAATAATATTTTGGCAAGTATATCAGATTCTCCACCTGAAAGTTAAAAAATATATATATAAATTAATTTGTAATTACTTCACTCAACTTATACCTATATTAAAAATAAACTCATTTTCTTAGACTAACATAGAATACACACCTTCCGCTGCAGAGCTAAAAAAGCGCTCCCATGAATCACAATGTGCCAGTCAATTTCCTCCATTATCCCCGATTACTTCTATAGCTACACCAAGGGAGTCCGTACTCTAAAAAATCCCATTAGAACAGCCGTTCGTGGTACCTGAACACGTGTGTCAATTTTGGTCCCTCTAGCTTGTAAGTGGGGTATGAACACAGTTTCAAAAATGGCGCCCGGGGAGGAACAGGAACACCAAATTCGATACCAAATTAGAGTTCAGTGACTCTTAAAACCTACAACCCTCCCCTCCCCCCATCATGTGTGGGTGGCCTTCTAGGGATATTTCAGTCTTAATTTTAGTTAGTTTAAGCTAATACAGTCCGCATAAATGAAGGAATTAATACTCGGTAGGCAAGAGGGAGTTATATTTGTTACCCTAATTCTACCGAAATCTAAGTTGTTCTAATTTGTTTTGTTTGTTTGTTTGTTTTGAACTTATGCACAAAGCTACACAAGGGGCTATCTGTGCTCTGCCCACAACGGGTATCGAAACCCGGTTTCTAGCGTTGTAAATCCGCAGACATACCGCTGTGTCTCAAGTGGCAAAGAGGGATTACATTACTTTAACTTATTTAGATTGTCAATGAAAAAATAATAATCAAGAACTACTGCCACCTATCATGTTGTAGGCGAGTGAATAATTTCACAAAAATGAAATTGGTTAATAAATATTAGTTCATTATTTAAGCAATTTCAGTTTAAGGTAGGCAAAGGAATTTTATCATACATGGCATGACTTTGTTATGTCTTGCATTGAAGTGAATACATGATAATAAAGCACTTTCACTAATACACGTGTATTTCATGCTTTCTGTGCTGAATCTGAATAAATTGTTATCTTTTATCTCTATCTAAAAAGTTTCTAAAGGTCAGCCAAGATCTATAGTTTTTAAGAACAATCCACGAGATATTCCTTAAATAGTAAATGTCATTATTTTAGTATGTTTTTTGAGAAACTAATGAATATTAACTACAATTTTATATATATATATATATATATTAAACAATAAAGAATTTATAATCATTTAAAGCATATACTTTCATTTCCAGTGGGTTATTCACATTCATAAACGAATAAAGCTTGTGGTAATAGCACCCAAAAAGCGATGGAGATATCCCATCTATCGAGCAAAATCCAAACCAAAACGCCGAAGTTAAACAAGTTGATCATCATGGAAAATCAAAACAAAGGGTGCAGAGGCGAGTGCTTAAACCCACAACGTCTCACCCCTACTGCCTTTCGCTGTCTGCAGCCAGATATGGGAAGGCAGTTACCCTTGAAGTCTAAAAGTAGAAATAAAATCACCCAAAATTTCTATAATAAAATCTCCCAACCACCAGCCTTATAAATATCTTTAAAAAAAAAACTTATAAATAGCCGAAAACTTCAGCTACTTGAAGTTGGTCTTTCCAGTCCAGGTATACTGAATAATATATATATATATATAGTTTGTGTTTCAGCAAGCCCCTGAGTGGCTTAGTAGTAGGCTTGAGAGCCTATAACACTTAAAATATGGGTGAGTTAGAGGTAAACGTAAGAGTTTATAACACTAAAAATCGGAAATCGATACCAGCATTTGGCACAGCGCAGATAGCTTGTGTAACTTTATGCTTATGTTGTCATTCCTTTTCACATTGCTCTTTTAGAGAAGTTCGCCTTCTGAGAAGTAATAGCAGACATGCATTGATTGGCAGCTGTGATTAAAAAAGGATCCCAGATCTCGTTACGAGTGCTCCATTTCATTTTTCCACACATTTTCACTCGATTCACCAGTTACCTCAGTTGAATAATTACCACACGCGTTGCAAGTGTTAATGTGGGTGAGCACTATTTCTTGGAAGTCACTTTTCTTGTAATATGGAATTGTTATTACCGTTTAGGATGGTAAGATAGAGAGGTTGAGCATGTATTAAAACGATTTTGAGGTCTCACTACATCATTACAGGTGATACTGCAATGTCTGCTCATTATTGATCTGACGAACGTTAACAACAACCCTGCAGCGTAGTTTATACTGCAAAAAGCCCCATCGTGAGATTTCCTTGTCCAAAACACACCATTCCTCTCTGAGTTACTTCCATAATCATCTAGTGTACAAGTATGATAGCTTTCCAGTGTCTGCTTCAACAGTTTGATCGCACCAAAATCCATAAGTGACTTGACAGACATGTCTTATTATTGAATAACATGAACATCGGTTTCATTTTCCAGCTGCTTGAGGTTTGTGACAGTAGAACAGGAGGTATGATTGGCAGTCTTATCTTTATAACAGACTATCTGTTAGCTTCGTTTTCAGACAGATATTCTTTTTGATGAAGTTGCATACTGTTCCCTGTGGCATGTGGACAATTTTCCCACTGATTCAGTGAGATACAAGAGTTGATCATCACTAGTTAAGTTAAAGTATGGTGAATAATAAATTTGTATTGGTAATTGTATGTGTTGACCTTTCTATCATTTGGGTTCAACGCTAATGGCCCTGAGAAGCAAAAATAACACATAATTATAAACATGAAAATATCTATAGAAAGGTAAGAATAATAGTTTTCTACAATAGTAATTCTTAAACATGTCTATTTATATAGATCCTTTAAAACTAAACTTTATCAAAACAATTATATAGATTAATTTATCAAACTAAACACGAAATCATTGTACATTATTTAGAGATTTAAATAATCGTCCTTTTCAGGGTGAATATATGTAAAAGTATGTTATACAATTTATTAATTATAGAAATGTAATCAAATGAATTAGCAATAAGTGTTTTATATACAAAACGTCAGAAGATGCAAAAAGAAAGGCCTTGCAGATTAAATATACAAGCGAAAACTATAATCACTATGCTAAATGTGTTAGTAACGCTATTCATCTATAAAAACACTATCTGCCTTTGTAAAAACTTGCAATGCACTTATATATATATATAAATTAAAACTATAAACATAAGTTGAGTTAAGTTCAAATCCTATGTAGTCCTACGGAAGTATAGTAACACTATCCACCAACCGAAACGTCATCTGTCTTTGTAAGATGTACGTAATACAATTAAATATATAAGTAAAAACTAAAACATAAGTTGAGACAATTATACGGGACTAAAGTAACACTATCCGCCTATAGTAACAACATCCGCCATTTTAAAACATACGAATTTCAAATAAATGTATACGCGAAAACTATACAGTTGACGATAATGATAAGAACTAGAGATATTAGACAACAGATTCAATGTAAGTTTTACTTATAAAACGAAACTGTAATTGTGATAGAGATTAAAAACTTTTCATTACTGATAACTGTAAAATTTACAATATATAGATTAGATGAATTAATAATTTTAAGGCTTTAAGTGTTACTATAAAGTTTATGTCATATTGAGACACATTGATCTATATCACCTTCTATTGGTTCGCTCGCGAATTCTCTGTGCGCTCATCATAGCAACGAGCAAGTGTTAAAGCAGCATGACAACTTCCTCTGGTCAAGAGCTGCCCTAAATACTTACGGTTCGCAGGTTTGAATCCTTCACCGTCCATGCTCGCCCTTTTAGCCATGGTGGCTTTATAATGTTATGATCAATCTCACTATTCATTGGTTAAAAGAGTAGTTCACAGATTGGAAGTGGGTGATGTTGACTAACTGCTTTCCATCTTGTCTATTACTTAAAAATAGGGACAGCTAACGCAGAAATTCAACAAACAAACATTAATTTAGGTTTAAGTAAATGCTTTATAATTGCACAGTAGCTGACATGAGTCATAACGTAAACTAGACCTTGAACTGAAGAGTAGCGACATCCTATAACAAAGATGTTGTGTTGATGATACAATGGGTAAGGCAATAATAACATCATGAATATAGAGTTTAAATATTCCATACAGGAACATTAATTTATACTGTATATAATTAGCACATGACTATTTTCAAGTTAGGTGTGTATGATAATACGTTGAAACCGAAGCCCTTCTCATGGATGAATATAGAATAGATCAAGCAGTCAGTTAAATGGTGTTTTTATACTGTAGGTGTTTATCTTGTATTAATGATTACGAAATGTTTTATCTTAATCTATAAAACAAAGTTAATTCTTCCTGGAACAACAGTCGATGTTAATATTCATATTTAGTTGTCAACATGATCGACTGTTGAAAGTTAAGTTATATTGCTGACTTTCGCTGGTTCTTGTCTACGTGAATGTAAAACAATAAGTCAATGAATACTTCTCGATCTTTCTACGGTACGGTACAGCTACGAATTCTTTTCTTTTTTTCCTCGTGTGAAGACAGTATAGAACTATAGCTTAATTTTATTGGCTAGTAAAGAATTAATAAGAGATTTTGCAATGGTCATTTGGAATCTGATTGGCTAGGAAGACTCGTAATAAAGTGTCGTGACAGGCCTACTATAGTTTTCTCAGTTCATAGTTGAGGTAATAAGGGTTTGTAAAGTTGTACAGCAGAACTTGGTAAATGATAGCTGTTTTTTTTTCTTTTTTCCAGAGAAAGAGAGAGAGAAGATGAGAGCATAGAAGTGATGAGGGAAAAGAAACATATTCATTATGTTTTCAAGGTAATTGAATTTAACTTTTAACTTACCAAATAAGACAGTGGTCCTTTATACTTT